TTGCAGTAGACGGAAGCCGTGCTAGTGTGATTAGGGTGTTCTAAGGTATTTGTTGAGCAAGGGATGAGTAATGATTCAATAGTTTTGATCCACTGTTGTTACATTGCAGTAGACGGAAGCCGTGCTGGTGTGATTAGGGTGTTCTAAGGTATTTGTTGAGCAAGGGATGAGTAATGATTCAATAGTTTTGATCCACTGTTGTTACATTGCAGTAGACGGAAGCCGTGCTAGTGTGATTAGGGTGTTCTAAGGTATTTGTTGAGCAAGGGATGAGTAATGATTCAATAGTTTTGATCCACTGTTGTTACATTGCAGTAGACGGAAGCCGTGCTAGTGTGATTAGGGTGTTCTAAGGTATTTGTTGAGCAAGGGATGAGTAATGATTCAATAGTTTTGATCCACTGTTGTTACATTGCAGTAGACGGAAGCCGTGCTGGTGTGATTAGGGTGTTCTAAGGTATTTGTTGAGCAAGGGATGAGTAATGATTCAATAGTTTTGATCCACTGTTGTTACATTGCAGTAGACGGAAGCCGTGCTAGTGTGATTAGGGTGTTCTAAGGTATTTGTTGAGCAAGGGATGAGTAATGATTCAATAGTTTTGATCCACTGTTGTTACATTGCAGTAGACGGAAGCCGTGCTAGTGTGATTAGGGTGTTCTAAGGTATTTGTTGAGCAAGGGATGAGTAATGATTCAATAGTTTTGATCCACTGTTGTTACATTGCAGTAGACGGAAGCCGTGCTGGTGTGATTAGGGTGTTCTAAGGTATTTGTTGAGCAAGGGATGAGTAATGATTCAATAGTTTTGATCCACTGTTGTTACATTGCAGTAGACGGAAGCCGTGCTAGTGTGATTAGGGTGTTCTAAGGTATTTGTTGAGCAAGGGATGAGTAATGATTCAATAGTTTTGATCCACTGTTGTTACATTGCAGTAGACGGAAGCCGTGCTGGTGTGATTAGGGTGTTCTAAGGTATTTGTTGAGCAAGGGATGAGTAATGATTCAATAGTTTTGATCCACTGTTGTTACATTGCAGTAGACGGAAGCCGTGCTAGTGTGATTAGGGTGTTCTAAGGTATTTGTTGAGCAAGGGATGAGTAATGATTCAATAGTTTTGATCCACTGTTGTTACATTGCAGTAGACGGAAGCCGTGCTAGTGTGATTAGGGTGTTCTAAGGTATTTGTTGAGCAAGGGATGAGTAATGATTCAATAGTTTTGATCCACTGTTGTTACATTGCAGTAGACGGAAGCCGTGCTGGTGTGATTAGGGTGTTCTAAGGTATTTGTTGAGCAAGGGATGAGTAATGATTCAATAGTTTTGATCCACTGTTGTTACATTGCAGTAGACGGAAGCCGTGCTAGTGTGATTAGGGTGTTCTAAGGTATTTGTTGAGCAAGGGATGAGTAATGATTCAATAGTTTTGATCCACTGTTGTTACATTGCAGTAGACGGAAGCCGTGCTAGTGTGATTAGGGTGTTCTAAGGTATTTGTTGAGCAAGGGATGAGTAATGATTCAATAGTTTTGATCCACTGTTGTTACATTGCAGTAGACGGAAGCCGTGCTAGTGTGATTAGGGTGTTCTAAGGTATTTGTTGAGCAAGGGATGAGTAATGATTCAATAGTTTTGATCCACTGTTGTTACATTGCAGTAGACGGAAGCCGTGCTGGTGTGATTAGGGTGTTCTAAGGTATTTGTTGAGCAAGGGATGAGTAATGATTCAATAGTTTTGATCCACTGTTGTTACATTGCAGTAGACGGAAGCCGTGCTAGTGTGATTAGGGTGTTCTAAGGTATTTGTTGAGCAAGGGATGAGTAATGATTCAATAGTTTTGATCCACTGTTGTTACATTGCAGTAGACGGAAGCCGTGCTAGTGTGATTAGGGTGTTCTAAGGTATTTGTTGAGCAAGGGATGAGTAATGATTCAATAGTTTTGATCCACTGTTGTTACATTGCAGTAGACGGAAGCCGTGCTAGTGTGATTAGGGTGTTCTAAGGTATTTGTTGAGCAAGGGATGAGTAATGATTCAATAGTTTTGATCCACTGTTGTTACATTGCAGTAGACGGAAGCCGTGCTGGTGTGATTAGGGTGTTCTAAGGTATTTGTTGAGCAAGGGATGAGTAATGATTCAATAGTTTTGATCCACTGTTGTTACATTGCAGTAGACGGAAGCCGTGCTAGTGTGATTAGGGTGTTCTAAGGTATTTGTTGAGCAAGGGATGAGTAATGATTCAATAGTTTTGATCCACTGTTGTTACATTGCAGTAGACGGAAGCCGTGCTGGTGTGATTAGGGTGTTCTAAGGTATTTGTTGAGCAAGGGATGAGTAATGATTCAATAGTTTTGATCCACTGTTGTTACATTGCAGTAGACGGAAGCCGTGCTAGTGTGATTAGGGTGTTCTAAGGTATTTGTTGAGCAAGGGATGAGTAATGATTCAATAGTTTTGATCCACTGTTGTTACATTGCAGTAGACGGAAGCCGTGCTAGTGTGATTAGGGTGTTCTAAGGTATTTGTTGAGCAAGGGATGAGTAATGATTCAATAGTTTTGATCCACTGTTGTTACATTGCAGTAGACGGAAGCCGTGCTGGTGTGATTAGGGTGTTCTAAGGTATTTGTTGAGCAAGGGATGAGTAATGATTCAATAGTTTTGATCCACTGTTGTTACATTGCAGTAGACGGAAGCCGTGCTAGTGTGATTAGGGTGTTCTAAGGTATTTGTTGAGCAAGGGATGAGTAATGATTCAATAGTTTTGATCCACTGTTGTTACATTGCAGTAGACGGAAGCCGTGCTAGTGTGATTAGGGTGTTCTAAGGTATTTGTTGAGCAAGGGATGAGTAATGATTCAATAGTTTTGATCCACTGTTGTTACATTGCAGTAGACGGAAGCCGTGCTAGTGTGATTAGGGTGTTCTAAGGTATTTGTTGAGCAAGGGATGAGTAATGATTCAATAGTTTTGATCCACTGTTGTTACATTGCAGTAGACGGAAGCCGTGCTGGTGTGATTAGGGTGTTCTAAGGTATTTGTTGAGCAAGGGATGAGTAATGATTCAATAGTTTTGATCCACTGTTGTTACATTGCAGTAGACGGAAGCCGTGCTAGTGTGATTAGGGTGTTCTAAGGTATTTGTTGAGCAAGGGATGAGTAATGATTCAATAGTTTTGATCCACTGTTGTTACATTGCAGTAGACGGAAGCCGTGCTAGTGTGATTAGGGTGTTCTAAGGTATTTGTTGAGCAAGGGATGAGTAATGATTCAATAGTTTTGATCCACTGTTGTTACATTGCAGTAGACGGAAGCCGTGCTGGTGTGATTAGGGTGTTCTAAGGTATTTGTTGAGCAAGGGATGAGTAATGATTCAATAGTTTTGATCCACTGTTGTTACATTGCAGTAGACGGAAGCCGTGCTAGTGTGATTAGGGTGTTCTAAGGTATTTGTTGAGCAAGGGATGAGTAATGATTCAATAGTTTTGATCCACTGTTGTTACATTGCAGTAGACGGAAGCCGTGCTGGTGTGATTAGGGTGTTCTAAGGTATTTGTTGAGCAAGGGATGAGTAATGATTCAATAGTTTTGATCCACTGTTGTTACATTGCAGTAGACGGAAGCCGTGCTAGTGTGATTAGGGTGTTCTAAGGTATTTGTTGAGCAAGGGATGAGTAATGATTCAATAGTTTTGATCCACTGTTGTTACATTGCAGTAGACGGAAGCCGTGCTAGTGTGATTAGGGTGTTCTAAGGTATTTGTTGAGCAAGGGATGAGTAATGATTCAATAGTTTTGATCCACTGTTGTTACATTGCAGTAGACGGAAGCCGTGCTGGTGTGATTAGGGTGTTCTAAGGTATTTGTTGAGCAAGGGATGAGTAATGATTCAATAGTTTTGATCCACTGTTGTTACATTGCAGTAGACGGAAGCCGTGCTAGTGTGATTAGGGTGTTCTAAGGTATTTGTTGAGCAAGGGATGAGTAATGATTCAATAGTTTTGATCCACTGTTGTTACATTGCAGTAGACGGAAGCCGTGCTAGTGTGATTAGGGTGTTCTAAGGTATTTGTTGAGCAAGGGATGAGTAATGATTCAATAGTTTTGATCCACTGTTGTTACATTGCAGTAGACGGAAGCCGTGCTAGTGTGATTAGGGTGTTCTAAGGTATTTGTTGAGCAAGGGATGAGTAATGATTCAATAGTTTTGATCCACTGTTGTTACATTGCAGTAGACGGAAGCCGTGCTAGTGTGATTAGGGTGTTCTAAGGTATTTGTTGAGCAAGGGATGAGTAATGATTCAATAGTTTTGATCCACTGTTGTTACATTGCAGTAGACGGAAGCCGTGCTAGTGTCATTAGGGTGTTCTAAGGTATTTGTTGAGCAGGGGATGAGTAATGATTCAATAGTTTTGATCCACTGTTGTTACATTGCAGTAGACGGAAGCCGTGCTAGTGTCATTAGGGTGTTCTAAGGTATTTGTTGAGCAAGGGATGAGTAATGATTCAATAGTTTTGATCCACTGTTGTTACATTGCAGTAGACGGAAGCCGTGCTAGTGTGATTAGGGTGTTCTAAGGTATTTGTTGAGCAAGGGATGAGTAATGATTCAATAGTTTTGATCCACTGTTGTTACATTGCAGTAGACGGAAGCCGTGCTAGTGTGATTAGGGTGTTCTAAGGTATTTGTTGAGCAAGGGATGAGTAATGATTCAATAGTTTTGATCCACTGTTGTTACATTGCAGTAGACGGAAGCCGTGCTAGTGTGATTAGGGTGTTCTAAGGTATTTGTTGAGCAAGGGATGAGTAATGATTCAATAGTTTTGATCCACTGTTGTTACATTGCAGTAGACGGAAGCCGTGCTAGTGTCATTAGGGTGTTCTAAGGTATTTGTTGAGCAAGGGATGAGTAATGATTCAATAGTTTTGATCCACTGTTGTTACATTTAGTGTGTCCAACTGAATTCTTTTCGTCTGTTTTTCAGTTTCAGTTAAAGTTACAGTTCTGATTTTCCGGGTCTTTCCATTTCAGTTACAGTTACAGTTTTTACAGTTTTTTTCTTTCAGTTTCAGTTACAGTTTCAGTTGAAGCTTTCAGTTGGAAAAATTGAATCAAACAACATGTTGAATTTGAAAACAAAACTTACAAAGAAACAAAAACTTAACGAGTTCAATCAAAAGTCAAGTCATTCAATCAAGTCACGGTTACTCGCAATCATTGTTCTTTCACGGAGCCCAGTGTTCGACAGCACTCTAAGTCTTCCTTCCGCCTGGATGGCTGCTCCCGAAAAAAGTCTTTCAACTCCGACTCCAGCGCCGCTGAAGCACAGGTTCGCAAGCGCAAACTGAGACAACTCAGGAACAGTAGATAGTCTGTCGCGCCAAAACTTGTGAAGGTATTCCGAGTGATGTTTGAGATCAATGTCAAATCCCGGTTTCATGTGTTCGTAAGTAGAGATATTCGCGCAATAGCTCTCAAACTGGGCCGAAAGCTTAACGGCTATTTCTTCGGGTTGCGATGCAGATGGAGGTGGAGTGAACAAACTCGGAAAGTTTTCTTCTTCGTCAGATCTGTCTTCGTAGAAATCAGACCATAGCATCTCGGAGTGTCTTGTGTCATCTTGACTTGGTACTTGTGCTTCTGTTACTTCAACTTCTCTGATCACTTCTGTTTCGATACACACGGTACAATTTCGTTTCCACTCAAGGAAACTCTTGGCGAAGACTTCTTTCAACCTCGAGACTTCACCAGAGAACGGTGGACCAACGAACAAAACTGACAA